CAATGTCACTTTTGGATTCTGCGGTGTCTGGCAGGCTTGGACTCTGAGGCTATTAAGTCTTGAGGAAAGTTATATCTGCTTAAACTGGTCAGGCTCCTCAATGCTTTACCGATTGCTATGTAACATAGTGTTGAGCATGGTTTATCAAGCAAAAATGCTTTGGAGTTTAACCAGCCACATGTGATGTGTAAAATCTGTCCCAGAGGGAGCAGCAGTGGGATGCAAGGGAAGTCGTTTTGACAGTGAGTTATGTGCAAATCAGTAGAATTAAAAGGTCTTAGGTACAGCTCTTTTAGTCTGAAGAATTATCACCCGTACTTGTATTTGTCCATTGGAAGGAGCTGATTGGCCGCTATGCAGTCATCGATGTACTGCACTGTGTAGTAGTCATCTGAACTGATCTTCTCTCCATCTGCTGCCAATCTGGAAAGATATAAGATTACCCAAAGCAGTTTAGTACTACGCTTCGCAACTTTAACTATCAGTGTTTCTTGTGTTTAAGTAAGAGCTGGTGCACGCTGAATTACAGAGCAAATGCAGATATAAGGGCCACTTCTTTGGCCTCGAATTCACACTGCAAATTCGCAAAAGTGGAGTACCTTTTTAAGTATGGCAAATTCCTCTGTAAATGTCTTGTGTAATCCATGTGATGTAGGATTCCCCTTGCTCTTATCAAACTTGTTAATAAACTTTAGGCAATAGAGGGTCATCAATGTAACCTTTTTAAACGTAATCATTGTGATATATATATGTGTCCACACCCTTAAAAGATGCAGGTGATCGGCTTTCTTCGACAAACTTTCTGTGTGACCTCACAGGTCCATGTTTGAAAAAATTTTGGCATACTTCTCAGCTCACTACATGGGCTGATGAGTGACAACTACTGGTTGAAATGATAAAAACAGGAAAACCTTCCCATCTGGCATGCCTGGAATGGTTTGAAGCTTTAGACACACTCAACAGGGATGCCCTTCACATTCATGCCCAATTTCAGAACGACTGGTCATAGTGGAATGTTGGTCAAGTTGTCCCCGAGTCATGTCGCCCCCTAGTCAAGTTGTCCCCCGTATAAATAATTAAATTATAATATAAATTTTTTCTACTTTTCAAGCTTTTACTGGGGTAATTTTTTGGGGGGGATAATTTATATAATTTCTTTTTTACTTTTCAAGTTTTTACTGGGGAAATTTACTTTTTCTTTTTTTTTTTAAATTTATTTATTTACTTATTTTCATTTCATTTAATTATCATTTATTAATTTACTGTATCACCATATCAGACAGGACTGAATTGTCTCTTTTGATTTGGTTCACTGTACACTCTTAAAACAACCCAAACAAAATGTTGACTGATATTCCTAGTTATTCAAAATTACTAAAATTCATTTCCGCATTACTGATTTCAGGAAGTTATTCAAATAAAGTAGAAATAACTACTGAAAGATTTGAGATTTAAAGACGTTCAAATTGCTTAAACAATTCAAAGAATATGTGTTGTTACATTGGCACACACCAGGACTCACCCTTTGAATAAATATATCTTGTGTGGCACATCTTGGCCAAGGTAGATTTCAAAAGCTGCCAGCTGCGTTCATTCAGGCAGGAATTTTACACACACAAATGGTCGAAATTAAATGAATGAAAATTGTGAATGAATGAGTGCATGTACGAGTCTCTGTCTTGTTTTTCTTTATCTTCTACGTATGGTTGATGAAACTAAAAATTACACGCACAGATAACAACTTGTAAGAACTAGTGGGGGACCAGGGGATGACTGAACCAGGGGACGACTTGACCCAGGGACGACTTGACCAGGGTTTCAATTTTGGGGGACGACTTGACCCGAGGGGGGGTTACATTTGTAGATCAACCACCCAACCCCCCCCCCCTGCTGTAGCTGGTAAGAGGGTGGAAACCTCCCCCTCCAGGCCTCATTTTGATATAGATTAGCATGAAGAGTCCTAAATCTTCCAACTGTTTGATGATGCCAGATTGTTTGGGTTAAGGTTTAATGCGTGTATGCATGCAATTAGTAATATTTGTGGCCGTCTTACTTGATCCATTCTTGGTTGCCATGGAGTTTGCTACTGACCATGCCACCTCTTTCCTGGAGAGAAAAAACAGACAAATATTACAGTGATTGAGTTTCACATTCAATATGGGGGTTCATGTAACTCATGTCAAAACACTGCCCCCCCCCCAAAAAAAACAAAAAACAAACCTGAATCACTTTCGGCAAACTTAATATTGTGCACAGACATGACAAACCCTGTGATGAATGATGCTCAAGTTGAGCTTTTCAGAGTATTCATCTAGATCCTCAGACTGGTCTGAAAAATTCTAAGACTTTTCTTTGTGAGTACCTCAATATTTTCCCCGCAAGATTTGACTTTAGGTCATGCTAGAATACAGTAGGTTCCTAGCTGTAGCTTGTGTAATTGTAAGGAAAAGTTGTGTCCGTAGGCTAATTTGACATCAAACTCAAATTAGTGTTGGGAGCACTCCTTAAATAAAGGCGCACAGAAAAGATATTCAGTGTTCACCAGTTACTAACTTCAATCAATGGCCTCAGTCTTGCTTTTGTAGCAGAGGGTCTCAGGAAGAATCTCATAGCTTCTCCATTTTCTTTGCAGAAAAGGAACGTCGAATCAGGCTTCGAATCGTCCGCCATTTTATTACACACGCTGTTACAAGGTGTATATTCCCTAGACTTCTCCTGTATGTAGAAATAAACGGAAGGGCTAACGCGCCAAGCTATAATTTCCTCGATTTTCCATCGCGGGACGTACATGCACGTACGTGCACGTAGGCTTACTTGTACTTTTGTAGCATTGTGTAAGTGCCAAACTAGATTTCGCTTCAACTTAAACTTAAAGCCAAACTTCTAGCAATCTGCATGTTAATATACACTGTCAGTTACGAGAGTGGTAAGTTATACTAAAGTGTAGCTTTGGGGATGCAGACTTCCTTAAATTAAAGCTTGCATGTAGAAGGGAATTATATTCACTCTTTCTCTTCTTAATCTTCATGGCGAGGCCTTGGCTTGGGCTCCCAAGTTCCATGGACATCATGGACATGATTGACATCTGTTGCCAAATGCGCTATTAAAATTAAAAGCCAAGCAGCTTTCCAGACTGGGAGGGGGAGGCGTTGTGACGAATGGGAATCCCCCTACCCGTGAACCGGAACGGGATTTAAAATCACTGAGTGAATAATTTCATGTTTAAATGCAGGGACCTATTACAGTTCTGGGGGGCTGGGTAGGGGTCTAAAACGATCCTAAAATTCCTATTCCCGTCATGCCTGTCCTCGGCATTTTATGAGCTAGGGCCCCTGGCCTACATGTTTACACTGTGACAGTTCAGATACCCCCAGAATTTTGGGGTTCACAGGAGCGGGATGCCCACCGATGGACGACAAAACCTACAGTTCTAGGGGCACTGTTCAGACTGACGTTTCTTTTGTAACCTCTTAAAGTCTTATCTGCCTTTCCCTTCACATGGCGTAATACGTAGATGTACTTACATGTGCAAGCACAGAGATATGTTGATATCTAGCCATCCTGTCCCAACGGCTACATGCTCTGTACATGCAGCTTTTACTCAGTTGCACACATTTGCCTTATGCATGTATTAAGTTCTGCACCTGTTTGCGCCTTAACCAATGTGTGAGTATACTCATGATCCTGTGGAGGTTTCTTCACAGTACAGGAAGATGATGATGGTATAATGAATTTCAGCCATTTTGTCCCTGGCAATTAAAATTTCATTCAACTACATGTTATTCTTTACACGTTCAGATTTTTGCTTCTCTGTATACCGGACAAGCTGCCTGACATAGCTGATTTAAGAAAATGGCAGAGGACCCAGAGCTGGCCCACTTCATCAATGTGGAGGGCCAGAAGCAGACCTTTCAGCAGCTGGTCTACAAGCTGACCGACACCTGCTGGGAAACCTGCTTCGCCGATGTCCGTCCGAGTGCCCGGCTCGAGGCCAAGGTGCAGAACTGCTTCGTCAACTGCGTAGAGCGCTTCATCGACACCACCAACTTTATCGTCAAGAGGCTGGAGACCCAGCCTCAGTACGGGTCAGCGGGATCAAGGAGAGGAGGGCTGGACATGGATTTATGATCAAGGTTCTTCCAGTTGTCTCATCTTAATTTAAAACATTGCTTCATCCTGTGTGACCAATCCCAGACACCAGTGATGTAACTGGGGTGAAGTTTCTAGTGGGACACCCAGATGTGAACACATTTTCTCAGGGGGCACCAACAGCTGATGAATTCCTGTCTGAACACAGGTTGTGCGCATTTCAAAATTACAAGGGGTCGGGGTACTGTCGGGGTTAGAGGAGAGAGTACAGACATCTGTTCCCCTCAGCTCCTGCTGTAGTTAAAGTCCATTTTGCAGAACGAGAGGTCACTATTGCTTGTGTGTATTAAATAAACATCTGTGACCAGATTTGTAAGCACAAAGCAGATTCTATCGATGAAGATGAAAGACACTCTAGCCAGTGGTTTACCCAATTAGGAAAGATCAAGGCGGGAACAGTAGAAGAAACATTCCTGCACAGTATAAGATGTTGATAGCTGTGATGTGCACGGTATGATACTGGTTACCATTTCAGGTGTGAATGATTTGATGCACTCTTCCCACCGTTTATTGTTCAGAAGTTCACAGTCTGTATCTAGGAAAACCACATTCTGCATATCATACAGAAATGCCCCAACGTGTACATGTACATGTATACACGTACTTGTCTGTGAGAGATGGAGCCATTGATACTGGCATTAGTTGATAAATATCTGATGGATAAATTTATGCAACATTTTAATGCTGTTTCAGCCTATCCTCTTACCTCCCCAACATCAGACAATACAGGATCCATGAGTATGCATGTTCAGTTAAAAAATGAGCTCACAAAATATAGAGGACCTGACGTTTCGGTCCTAGCAGAATCTATCTCTAAGGCAAAATGACAAGTGGACAGGACAAACAAGCACACAGGGAATCAACCAAGCATGGATGAATGCAAGAGGACAGAAAGGGTCAAGAAAGCTGCAGGCTGGATACAAGGGGACTGCATGAAAGGCATGGTGGAACAAGAAGACGATTGCTGCTCTTGATGGTCAAAAATTAGTAGATTCTAATTAGCATTTCATCATGTAAATGGAATTGGCAGGTCTATGTACATGTGGCTGAATGAGTGACTTGCATCACTTCTAATGTTCATGATCAGAATTAGTGACATCACACAACATGAACCATCGGCTTGAGTCTTTCATATCTGTGCTTTATTTATAATTTTTTTAATTAATACTTTTAATATTGTTAATTGGTAGTCATTGCTTCTGGTTATTAGTTTAGAACATCTGATCCAGTACAAACAAAATAACAGCGACATACACATGGGGATATTGTGGACAAAGCCACCGTACTGTGTGGTTATGAACATTTTAAAGGAGCTTCAGTCAATGAAAACCTGTTTGTTTTTGGCACATAATTAACGATGAGTGAATAAATTTGAAAATGAACCATTTACAACAGGTATAGTGACATTCAATTGATTTATCACTTGAGTGAAATTTTTTTTTCTTTTTTTTTATTCTTTCTCTTACGATGCATGATGTAATTTCTGTGAGCTCTCATTTTATAGAATTCTTCTGAACAGAAACATGGGTCAACACCACCCTACGCCCGTGAAATGTGTGCACTGAATTCATGGAAGGCAGCAAGCAGCCACACCTCTCAGCTGCAACACACTTCACACAATTTCTTGACAAGGATTAGCCCAATCCAGCATCTTGTATAGAGGACAATGGGGATAGAGCCAAATGCCATAGTTCTTTTTAAAACGGCCTACTGATGTTTAGAATGATGCTGTGTGACACACTCGTGCATCAGACCTGCAAGGAAATTTCCTATAGCACTGGTCTGTCACAATACCCAGTCAGAATAGCTACATGTATGCTTATTTCTTTCCAAGAAGCTCAATTGATTCACTGGTATATTGTTTCTTTCTACAGCGGCCAAATTTAATCTTAATTCGTACATTACATATACGAATAAATAATTTTAGTCAACAAAATCGGCCTTTCAGCCATCTTGACAAAAAGCTGTAATCTACCAAAAAACCCTAAAAGTTCAACAACAGAAAAATTCTTCAGTTTTGTAAAGATACATATAGTGATTGTGTCTTCTTTACATTTTCGGATCTTTAATACATGGCAACCATAAGTGCTGTCATTCCAATTCAGCGTCAATGACTTACTTCAATGCCACTTCTAGTGGTGCAAATGTACTGCCTCCTAAACCAACTCTTGTCTGAAGTCTACAAGAATCTGTTAGGATGAAAATATCAGTGTCAGCTGTTTCTTGCGTGTTCAGGGGTCACCCATTTTTCTGTCCTTGTCATGAGCTTACAAAGTGAACACAAAGTGAGGTTTCATACAAATCTGGATTGCGATCAGTCATCCCAGAGCTGGTACGTGCTATCCATTAGGCAGGTTCTGGCGTCAGAGAACCAGTGATGGATCACTGATCGCGATCCGGATCTATGTGAAACACACAGGCGCTAGGAGGGCAGAGGTTTTCAACCTGCATCATACTTGGATTTGTCTCTGTGGTTTGGTGTACGCGGCATGCCTTACACAAGATGTTGCTTGATAAGGTTTCGCCGCCTCTTTGATCGATTTCCTGGCTTGTATCCCCTACTCATGCAAAGTAATACACCCTACCACGACGAGGAAAGCAATGCTACTGTTACTGCCATTGACAGCTTGACCAGCCATCATCCTCTCATGTACATTTTGGGAGGAGAGAGGCATCTCAGGGAGGAGAGTTTTGCACGCTTGTGAAAAGGACAACAAATCGTCACCTACACCAAGAAGTAGCACTCAACTGCACTTGCGTGTTACTTCGTGAAAACCGTGTTTACAGCAATTTTGGTTTCACAAAGTAGCACTCAAGTGTGCACGCGCACATCGTACACTGATGTATAATCAAATGATTTTCATGTTCACAAAGTAACACTCGTGTGTTTTGTCAATATAGCATGGATAAAAAAAACACTTTGAAAGGTCTAAAATGATTTGATTCACCCATAAATATGTGACTTAACTAGAAGATGCTCTTAAAACTTATTTTAACTGTTTAAATTAAGGAAAGGGTCAGTTCTTGAAAATGACAATTCACCAAGCACGTGCCACACGGCACCGAGTGCTACTTCATGAAAAAACACATTTCCGTAAAATACGTGCAAAAGCGGCTCACACATCTATTGATGAGTGCAACTTTGTGGTGTTGATGACGAAATACGGATGTAAACCTATTACAAGTGTCCAAAGAATTTCAAGTCTCAAATTATTACCTGTAATCAGTACTACTTGTGTACAGCCATTTCCTGGTCACAACACATTATAATACATTGCTAAAAATAATTCAGGTATTTTTTCACCCCAAAATGAAAGCAACATGTATTGACAATCAATGAATGAACAATATTTACAGTATCACCTACTAACACATAAACCTAAAATTGGGGACAATGCAAATACGGTCTGTTACAGTGTTAGATAACTCTACATCGCCTCCTTCCAAAGAAAAACACAGCCAGATCTTTCTGTATCTTTAAATTGAGAGTTTTGTGATGTGCCAACATTATGAACTAAACCACTGGACATTTATGGCTTCTAAAACCCAGTGAAAATTGAAAATCTGCTAGTCAATGATCATGCCTTACTATTTCACCAAAGGGGGCATCCCATAGTGCCAGTTGGCTGTTTTAAAATCTGACATCAATGGCATCACATGAACAAAATCCAGATTGTTCTACCTTCAAACACTTACAAAAGCTACACCCACTGCAACCCCTTGCCAATTGAATGGATGAATTCTGCAAAGTGAATTAGAAGTCTGAACTATAGTGGCGCCATGCTCGTATACAGGTGGTGCCCAGTCATTCCACCAATAGGGTGTCGTGATTTGCACGTATGTCTTGGATTCAGGAATGGCCACGTCAGTATGGTGCCCACTACAGTCAGATGACATCCCCTTGGATAAGTCTACGAGCAAGTTATTTAATCCAACGACAAATTCAGGCACAGATCTTGTCTTCATTCTAAAAAGTCCTCACCTCAAAAAGCAGTACTGTGTCACTGGTATTTAAAACTGACAGACTTTGATGTTCTTTGACAATGCGAAAGACATTCTTTCCAACTTAAAGAAAAATTCGCTCTTCAGGATAGTTTAATTAATTAATTAAAAATAAAACTTGTTACCAAAAAACTTTCAAAGAGTAGCTCGCAAAGGTACAATACTACTTGCTGAAGTGCTAAATATTACCTTTATTGAAGACCTTGCTGTACTAACTTGCATCAATGCCTGATACAAAATGTATGCATGTGTTTTGAAAGAGTTTCACACATTATAACACACTTCAGGGACAAGTTTTGGGAAACTAATCAGTAAAAAGCAAAGAAGAGCTGAGAGACCAAGCTTACCTGAAGTATTTTTTTAAAAAGCAAACACATACCAATATAGAAAATCCTTTTTACAACTATGGCAGTCAGAAGTAAGGTCTTTCCTATACTTTATATAAAATACAGTTGACTGAGAACTGTTCTGTCAGCTGAAAACTGCGTGCTTAGCTATGCCATAAAACGGGGGTCAAGGGAATCGTTAAAATGCAAGCAATGACCACATGTAAAGTCCCTATCCCTCATAGAGCATCAAGACATATACATGTACAAAACCAAAGTTAACAGAAAACTTCTCAAGTACACGTACAGTATACGCACGTACACTAGCTTGTCCATAACTTACCAATTGAACAACCAATCAGTCACTGCTTTGGCAAAGAAAAGTTGAACAAAATGAAGAATTACTATATGGGCTCACTTCCAACGTAAAATAAAGAACAGAGAAATGGAATGTCAATTGACTATTAACACAATTTATTGATTTGAGATAAATATATACATTGGTAAATCATAACATAGGCCAATTGCTTTCAATCTCATTACAACTGTGTCCACGCCATCTCAAAAGTTCTATAATTGGTAAACTGCGTAACATCAAGCAAATTTTCTTTCATCAAAAGTGCACAGGCATAGAGCATGATTAAATACGTCTAGCTCTTGATGAAAATAGCATACAGATTTCCCCTTTGGAAAAAAATACACTTTTATAATGTCTGACCAGGAAAGAGAAATATGGGATATGGTTTGGGTTACGAAAAAAAAAAAAAAACAGCCACCATGGGCTGTGTCCAGAAGTAAAGGCTATGGCTAGAAATGATATAAGGATGCATGGAAGCGGCTAGTTACCTCCCTGACACATGCATGATGCCAGCTGCAGGCACATCTTCTGGATGTAGCCTTGTATCTACCTGGTTTTCCCCCCAAGTCCACGAAGACCAGTCGGTCTGTGTACTAGATCAACAAAGAAAATGGATGCAACTGATATTTCATATTTCATGTTTTAACAATGATCAACACTGACTGAGCATCAATCGTGGCGTCAGTGAACTGGACACAAGGAATTTGATTCCAAGAAAAACACAATCAATCTCAGAGTTTCTTCGGCAGGAATGGTCTGAAGTTTCTGGTCACCATCTGCCCCACTTCAAACCCTGTTGGTGTTCTTGTTCCCTTTTCATTCATGAAATAACAGCTAAATGCAGGCAAACTTGCAAGGCTGTCTGGAATTCTACCATTTTTAATAGTGCTGTTTTCCAGATATGGCTATTAACAGTGCACTTGATGTGGTTCTGACAAGCCTTTGAGCTTTACGTGTGGCAAAATTTTTATACTTGCGAGAAAATGGGCTTTCTGGATCAGTCACGAAAATGGCCGAAATGTGTCAGTATGGACACAAACTTTGTGGCTAGATGAAGACCAGAAACAAGAACTTTGTCTAATCCACCGATTCTGAAATGGACTTGTACGTATGGTAAGCTGCACATTGGAATCACACTGAAGCTATACAACAGATGATGGGATATAAAATTTATATGCAAATCTATTATAATCTAATTCAAGGTATATCTTTTGTCACATCTCTGACATTAACATATTAAAGCAGACATAAGATGTGACACTGAATAACTTACCAAGATAATTTACCCTATTATTTGGATATCTTTCTTACTACTTTAAATCTGTGACCAAATTACCTGTTATGAATCCTGACCGTTTTTTTAAGCAGAACAGGTAATTCACACTACATGTTAATTGTAGTTTTGGACAATTTGGTACATTATATAAACCCTTGGCAGTTTTGCTTGGAATCATGCCACACCTAGATTAAACACTGCCTAATTAACAAATGGAACACTCTACAGACAAGACCATAAGAAGACCAGTTTATCAATTCTACTCTCTCCATCAAAATCAAGCAAAGCAAAGTTTGACCACTGTGGGCACTGGACACAAGTAAATAGGGTTTGGCATTTTTACAGCAAAGCCTGAAGAGTGGTTCTTCAGAAAAAGAACTCAAGCACCGAGAAAAAACAGATAAAAACCCACCTGCACCATTTCTTTTTAAAAGTGCACCGCATGGCGTTCTAACAAGAGTAACTAAGCCAGGTTTCTGGGTGCTAGACACACTGGAATAACTTCTTGTTAAGGAATTACATTTTGAAGACCCCTAATCAAGATAATTCTGTCACTCTGGAATGTAAACCAAAAAATCCTTGCCGTTTAGAAAATGAAGACGGCATAATGATCATAAAATTAATACAACATGCTCGTATTGAATATGTACTATGTGTTGGGTTAGTGAGAAATATCAATGGGAAAGACATGTTTCTCCAACGGGGCTCATTTGATAGCATAATGGCTAGTACACATGGCTTTGCCATAAAAGCAAGACAACTAGTGAACGTGCACTGCACATGTGCTCAGCAACAAAGCTGTGGCACCACTACGCCATGGTTCAACCCATCTGACAAAAACGTGTAGTACTGCTTAGCCGGCAAAGTTTAACTCGTTTAACTGAGTGCCCAGTGCACAGGCAGAGACTGTACATTCTACCATAAACTGGTCACGCATGCTCAGCACGTTCCGCACCAAAGCAATGAATGCCCACCAAAGGACTGTCGTTTTGGTGTAAAGGCACGCCATCCATTGTTCCGGCACGGTGCAGATTGAGCCCCAATGAAAACTGCACATAAACAGATGAACCCCTAGTTCAAAATGAAGAGAAAAAAGTGAATGTAACTCCAAACACATGTAAATGCCTTAAAAGGCTTGATCAATAATTGCCTACACATATTTGTACAATGTAGCGGTTGCCATGTTTACAATTTATGTGAAGGCTATTGACAACTTTACGTAGCAAAAGGTCATTCCAGCTTTAAAAAAAAAAAAAAAAAAGCTATGAAATACTTCCACAATATCTTTGCTACGTTTAAAATCACATTTTTTTTTGAGCAGTGCACAAGACTGCAAGATAATCAACCATTAAGGTCAATGTATTCCACATTAAACTGAATATCTTATAAACAATAAGTGTTGCCTCTTTCGGCGCTCTATAAATACAAATTACCAAGTGTCATTTTACAACAATGCCATTGTATTTTTGAGGAGTCTGATATACCATAGTCCAAATGTGCTGGGGTAGCCAACGTGAAACAGGAGAGCACTGGCGTATTTGGTTTACAGCCAAAAAAAAATAGGTGAACCAAGGTTAACCCTTAAATGTACACCCCCCAAAAGGCAAGCTGTGTAATACCAATGGCATCTAGCTACACTCTCAAGCAAGCAGATTGAACTTTTTCTTTTTTCGATACAACACACTATAACAAAATTCCATCAACCGGAGTCAACAGCAAACAGTAATGAGGGTCCATTTTATAACACACAAAAGTGTGGTAACTGATTTGTAAGTGGCGTATCCGGCATAATGGGACATTCTTTACCTGAAAGGGTACCCATGCTGGAACACGTTTGCCAGGGGTGTATGAGAAACTGTAATGGCCAAATTGGGACTAAGGTTAAAGGTTAACGGATGTACATTAACCCTCCTTTTGTTTTACAGCAAAACTATGCACGAGTGCCCACAGTCACTCTCTTGCATGTGTTTTCTATATGGAACACAACCATGCACAGGTTCAGTGTGTACACAGTTGGTTGCCAGCACAGTCTTTTGTGCAGTCCTC